GCAGCAGGGAAGTGCTTGTTACGTTGTATAGTATTTGGGATTTTGGCTTTATAGACGTTGCTGCTTTAACTGACTGATAAGACGTCTGTGTTTATGTATAAAGCCAGGAACAATTTATTACCTGGTGGAATTCAAAAACTATTTAATGAAAGGGAAGGGGGATACAATTTAAGGGGTCAGTTAAATTTAAAAATTCATGCTATACGTACAACCAAAAAAAAGATTTTGTATTTCCATAAGTGGGGTAAAACTATGGAATAATTTAAGTGTGGACATAAAAAATAGTAATAGAATTGATGAGTTTAAACATAAATATAAAGGTATGTGTCAATCAAGATATATGCAAGAACAGGTTTAATGATTAATTAGATGGAACATTGTGGGTGTGGTGTATGAATGTTAACACTTTGTAATAATTCTTTAGTATATTACTTGTGTGGTGTAGAAGATAATTATCTATGTAGAGATACTGCTTGCAAACCAATGATGGTAAGATGATGTCATGGGGTAGGACTGGATAAGTCTGACTTCTTCCTACTCCATTCAAGCATGTACTAGGTATAAGCAAATTGATATTGGATTAGCATTTGTTGGATATGTGTGAAATTATGTGTGTTGACATATCAACTGGCTTTACATGCTTGAAAGAATAAATCAAATCAAATCAAACAGTCAAAGTCTCCGAGCAGAAGGACAGCAGCCACACATGGACACACACAGGCAGAGAGGTAAAGTGTTGCCTTGTCCCATATTAAGACCACAACAATAGGAAAACAGCTCTTTCTTTCTGTCAGTCTCCCAGACCTATAGTTTGCGATCCATCTCTTCCATCCATAATCATCCTTCCACCACCCCCCACCACCCCACAAAATCCACTAAACCACTACTCTCAGGCCTTTCAAGTGGCAGGTAGATGAGGGCCTGATACGCTGCTACCGCCTCACAACCAGCGGGCTAATTACAAGGGAAGCAGCAACAAGTGAGCATTGTGTGGAGCCTCGAAGACACACGGGGAAAGAAAGTGCTCTTTATCTTGCCACTGCCGATCCCCCTCCATCCCACCCTCGACGAAAACAATCTCTGAGAGGCTTTGTGGTTGGCACTCCAGGGTTTTAGGAGGGGAAGAGAAGAGAAGTAAAGACGAGAGAGGATTGTGAGACAGAGGCGAAAGCAGTAGACACAAATACCATCACAATTGCTCACCGAGTTTGTCTAACACGATGCCGGATGTACTGCGTTATGCAACATGGAGTATAATATGTTTAAGGGAAATACGAGTACAAGTAGTTAATTCAATTATATTCTCAATCACAGTACAGCTTCACTAATAACAGACTTAGGGGGAAACTAGTTCCTGGGAGATGCTAAAGTAACTCACAAACAAGTGGAGTGCCTGTTACGTCTGGTTTTCTCGCCAAGAACAAACAAAAGCACTGTAACAAAGGCTGCCAAAGCTTTTTTTTTCAGGGAACTGATATTTTCATCTTGAACTCAAACTAGAGGGAGAACAAATATGTTACTCAAGTACAAAAGAAATTTACAGTCAAAGCAAAGGCATAAGGAGGGATCCATCCATTGTTTACTTAAGTAAAAGTAACAATACCACAGTGTAAAAATACTCAGTTACAAGTCCTGTATTCAGAATGTTACTTAAGTAACAGTACAAAAGTATATGAATCAAAATATAATTACTAAAAGTAGTCATTATGCAGTATGGCACAGTTCATCTTAATATATGTCATATTAATGGGACTATACTTACTGATGTATTATTGTCTACATCACTTTAATGTTGCAGCTGGTAAAGATGGAGCTAACGATAACTATCTTATCTGACTATACTTTGAAATACTTTACATATTGCTGGGTACCAGAAGGCATCGATAGTCTCATGATTATACTGTATTTTATTATTCTCATTTTGAAAGGTGACTGCTAACTAAAGTTAGCAAATAAATGTAGTGAATACATGTAGTGGAGCGAAAAGTACAATATTTGCCTTTAAAATGTATTTAATTCAAAGTATGTGGTAGCACAAAATGAAAATACTCAAAAGTGCAGATACCTCTAAATTGTACTTAAGTACAGTAATTGAGCAAATGTACTTAGTTACTTTCCACCTCTGGTAAAACTGAGGTGGAGCAAAGCATTCACAGATAACATGATATGAACGTTTTGTAAGTTTTATTTTAAAAATGATTCTTTTATAAATGCGCTGAGCTGTTTTTAAGGACGATCCTCTCTAACAAGAGGCTTCACCCGGACGCTGACAGCGGCGCACAAGTAACTTTGAGGTGTTGCCAAATTACATTTCTGGCCATAAAGCGGGTTTTAGGACACAGCAGCGTCCTAATTCCCTGTGTCTCTCACCTTAGCTCAGCCTACAGCGCGTGGATGTGTGAGCTCACACACAGGCACGTCTGCTGTTCAGCAACATCTTGTTTACCAGAGCAGGGGGTTAATGCAGGCAACAGGATTACACAGCACATGAAAATGAATTAGGCTCATGTTTGGTGCAATTAGTCAGCCTATGTATGGATATTGGTTCTTCTGGGTGACTTGAAGGGATTCTCTGATGAATTTCCTCTCAGGCCGGCCGGCTGGTTGAATAATACTGCACACTTGAAACCTTTCCATGAGTAATTCTCATGTTTTAACAGCTATTAAGGCAGCGACAAGTCTCTTGTCATTCACTAGGGGTACAAACAAATGGAGAACGTCGTGTGAAAAGCTTCACAATGACGACATCTGTCAGATTCCAACTTCAGCAAAGTCGTAAACAAAAAACAAGCTCGATTTCCGCTTTTCCCCCGTGAAATCAAAGTGGCACTTTGATTTCATTTCACTCTGTTTTAAATACTGCTTTTTATAAGGCAGTTAAGGGGCGAGCACAGTTCAAAGCCAAATTCGAACACGTGTAAAGTTTGTGAGTGGCTTGCAGTGCTGCGACTGACAGCGTCTCTCTTCAGCCTCAGCCTCCACTGTGTTAAACTACAGACACGTTCAGTTACTGCACAGATATAAATTGAGCGAACGAGGTGAAGGAGGTGTTTCTTGAACTTAACTGTTACCGTATGTCAGTCACAGGCCTAAGTCTAACCTGCAAAAAAGCCCAGCTACTATCATTATTTTTAAAAATGTGAAAGAAAAGACTGAGTACATATTTGCATTCAGGTAACTGAGACTAATTGAGGTTTATTTCAAAACAAAAATCTGATCTATCAACAAAAAATCCTTTAGAAAAGCTGTATAAAGTGATAAAATACTGTTAAAATACTTTAGTTGAGGGCAAGTGCACTTAATGGGGAAAAACCTTGCTGACTTTTAGGCTAATTTGCACAAAAATGGATTACAAATAATAATAAAAACTCAAAAGTATCCAAAAAACAAGGAAAATTGACCACCACTTTATCATCCATCGTGTCCACAGCCTCTGTTTGTTACTCTGGCAGCTGAGAATGTATTTGCTTCACCCATTATTAAAAACCCAGAGAAAGTGGTGAGCTACTAATGCTATAGCATCACCTCCAGTAATATTAAATCTCAATCAATCAGTGAAACCTCTGGAAGCACAAAACCACGTGGTCAGTGTTTGGACTTCACACCAAAGATTACAGGCAGTAGCTGAAGTACACAAACTTGCACAGGAGCCCACAGCAAGACATATACACGGGCAGATAAGGACTCAGACTGCCCACAGCTACCAACACAAGAAACCACGTGGAGATAAAACATTGAGCGGTGCGCTGTACCCAGCAGGAGATTTCAAACAGAAGCAGACTTACAGATGGAGAAACGGAGCTGTTGGGGAGGTAGGGGTCAGGCAGCATCAAGAACGGATACCCAGGGTACGCCGGCGTCTTGTACATGCCTCCATCTTGTTGCTTTGACACTGAAGTCAGACATGAAACATAACAACCAAGAGAAAAAAAAAATAAAAGCACTTCAAAATGTTTTAATGGGACCAGTTTGTAGAAGTTGTTTCCTAACCTAATCACTGTGGTCTGGTCTTCAAGGGGACAGGTTTTGCTTTTAATCTAATTTCAATTAATATAGCAGGGAAAGTTGTTTAAGGAGTAACAAAAACTATGGATAAAACATTTTACTCTATATAAGTTTTAAAATAAAATAAAATCACACACTTACTCCTATAGTGCTGCTAAAAAGTTATAGCAGTGCAGAACACACAGAAGACAATAAATAATGTGCATACACAGCGGGAAAGCTGTTTACAAGCGTCCTACATGTTGTGTATCCTTGCATAAGCTACAGTACTTGAGGCAAAAGCGTCACCTAGTCTGAGGTGTGAACTCCTGTAGCCTGTGTCAATTTATCTCTCACCACTGCCCATATTAAGCATCAGGGGCTTCTCTGTGGGTCAGCAGCTATCGCTAAGTTATACTTAGTCTGTATGAAACGAAGAAGAAGAAAGAGCAACTCTGACCTTTTTTTTTTTAATGTTCCAGTCTAATAACCTCTTAGTACTGAGTTTTCTCAAGCTGCCAAAAATCATGGGCTCGCACAATCAGAGCAGGGAAACATTTTGTCTGTGGCTTTCACCCCAGATAGACACATTTGTAACTGTGAATTCACAGTTGATGAATCAAAGGAACACAATGTGAGAACTTTTAGAAATGACTGAAATTAGTTACACGATTCAGCACAAGACTGCCATGGTGTAGAGAGGCAACATGCTCTTTCTTTTGGGTGCCACTCCTAAAGAAAGTAGCTAAAAAGCTGAAATAAACGTGAAGGACCCTGGTTGACCCTGCTTTTGGCAGTCTGGCAATAAACTACACTGCAAAAATATCGATGTTCATGCTAAAATAAAGCCTGTCAATCCGGATAAAGACCATCTCAAAAATATTCCATATACACTCCCTAAGAGTTCAGTCATCTCAGGGACTGTTTTTAAGGCCAAGAGACTCACGGGGGCCATAGTTCATCTCGTTATAAGACATTAATAAAGCAGGTTATTTACACCTGAGTCGTGCTAGTTTGAAACACCATGCGATAGATTTGAGAGTTAAACTAAAGAGCTGGGGACATCTTTTGCAGTGTACACCTGAAAACAGCTCTCAGGTTTTAATGCAGCAACACGTGTCCCCATGTCCAAAACACTCTATGGCTTCTCGGCTGTTTTCTGAGACACTAGTGGCTACGCAAACCGGATGAGAGTCGGGTGTGGAGATGTTTTTAGTCTTCTTCTGCTTCTTACCACCGTCCAGATGCTCCCGGTGTTTGTCTAGGAAGCCCCTCTGCTCGCCCTGATGTCCCCGTCTGACCGCCTGGAAGGGACCGACAACAAACAACAAACACGGCCTTAGATCATCCCAAAAAAAAAAAAGCCCAAAGAAAAATAAGCACACAAGAGTCGCAGGGTGTCAGTGAGAGCGACCATATCATACTTTATGGTTTTGTTCACCTATGATATGACAACCTTGTCCTGTAGTAAACCTGTAGTAGCGGTGCTGTAACCCTTTGGTCTCATTCAACGCTTTTCCACACACATCCACACATACACACTCCCTCTCTCTCTGTGTAAACACTCTCTCTCTCTCTCTCTCGCACCTACCGCCGCGTTCGGACTTTGACTTATTTCCGACTCGTTCACCAGAGAGGACTTGAGGTCGGCCAGGTCTCTCTCCGTGAACGCGTTTTCTTGGATTTTCTCCTCTTGCTCTCCTTCGTCTTTGAACGCAATCATCTCATCGTTCGCTCCCAGGTCGTCCCCGCCGCCGCTGCTGAGCTGAGGCATGTCTACGTCCCCCGGAGATATTACACACTTAAAATAATAATAACAAGAAGAAGTTTAAATAAAGAAAAGACTCAGAGGGCTTTTCTGTGAAACCTCCTCAATCTGGGGCGCCTCCAAAGTGCAGAAACCCCCACCACATACAGAAAAAAGTTGAGATGCGGCGTCCCCTGGCTGGTTGGTCGGTAGAGGACTA